GACGAACTTACTTCAAAACATAATTAGATTAGACTACCTTTCTCTATATTAAACAATAGTCTTTATCCAATATGGATGTCTAGCTTTTTATCAATATAGATACATAGATTTTTAATAATATGGATATGTGAATATTTTTATTRTCATAATTTGATATGTAGGTTAACATTTTTTGTATTGGATAAATATTCATTCAACTAAAGTAAAATGAACAAGAATCTCAAAAATACGACATGATCTTACCTTTGGTGTTGTTTACAGGTGCAGACTCCKAGCGACATCAAAGAACTGATAAAAGTGAACCTACCCACGATGCCTCAGCTACTATTAGTACTATGTGCATATCCTTATATGGTAATATGCKAAACAATGGTAGCAATCGCATGAATGGCTAGTGAAATACGATTTTCTTGGCAAATCTCACCATTGATWAGTAAACAGCTCATATTCATCAGCTGGCTTATCGAACGGTTAATCATATGTAGATCTATTCTATGTAACAATCTGCTTCCGGTCTGGAAGAGTTTCTCGTCAATAGATCACGTCTAGCAGTCATTAATTATCAGAAAAGTATCCTAAGATCTTACGGAATTGCAGTGAAGCTACAATACAACACACGATCAACAATCTACACTTTCCATGCTTGTTATGCTAAATCGAATCTACTTTTGTTTAACCAGAATGCCTTTCGTGSTCAATGTCCGTCTTTTTTCACTATTTATTCAATTCACCAACTTGAGAAAACGTTGTCATAAAAAATGGGACATTTGTATTTAGTAAATAGGAATAAAAAAGAAAAAAGAAAAAAGAACATCAACTAGGCTGAACGCTTTCTTTTGTCTTGTTTTAATATATTGCTTTTTACTAAATTCAAATGTTCAATTTTCTATGACAACGTTTCTGCAATAGGTGTATACGTAATTGTAAATATTTCTTTTCTTATCTAATACTTACGTAAAAATATTATCAAATAAGTGTGAATGAAATTGAAATTAATGGGTTAAGAGGCCAATTTTGTTAGCCTTGAAACATGCTGGAATTTGTATGCCATATGTCTTTTTTTCGCCATTTAGTACAGTTTCTCAAGCTGRTCAAGACAAGTTCATATAAAGCCATTAAATGTTATTTTGAGAATCCAAACAGTTTATAATCTGCTTTTGTACCATGGGTCAATCTCTTCGCCAAAGTAYGACATATTCACATAATTTCGGGACGTGATCCATCTATTTGTAAACCGTGATGCAATTTTGTCATATCCTAAGATCTTGTATTATTAAAGAAGACTGATGTTTGTCAAAATCATTTGTTGTACCACACTTCTGTAAATTCGCGTGCGCTGATTGGCTAATTAGAGAGTTAGACTAAAATGAACATGAGCAATCTGTTATACATGACATATATCAGAAAACAACCCTTTATATTCTCTGCGTTCGGAGACAATTGGGTCCAACTTTCTACTGTTCTTGAGCATCTTGTCCCAATGTAAACACACTACATGACGTCATGATAATAAAATACAGTCTTGACGTCATTAAATGTCTACAACTTTACAGAAAAACGTAGAGTCACATTRTTGCTATTACTTATTAATTTGAGTTTATAGATATTATGCATTCTTGTACTGAGATTTTTCCCGACCAAATAAAATTGAGCTACACATTAATTCACTATTTTAAATAGGTATCCATGGCAATTGGCCAATTTCATACCGTGGGAGACTGGMTACAAGTCCCTTAATTCGCACGCTGGCGAGATAATACTATAAGATATATAACGAAAAATAAGAAACTCACAAAGTTTGGCGTTAATCAGATCAAATGTGAACGATTAGCAGCTTTTCAAAAATTCTAAATTTTACAAAGAAATGTATGGGAATTTAGAAAAATCGACCGGACGCACGTCGGCATTCTATACATTTCTTCGGAAATTCAAGCGTTATTTAAAAGGCCGTAAATCTCTTAAAATTGACCTGATCAACAACAAATTCGGACGGTCAGTATWTCCCAATACGTTCTTTCGTCCCACGGCATGAAATCAGSCAWTYGAGGTTTACGGAAATGCAAGACCGAAAGATGCTATGGGTATTTATTATCGATGGAACTATTCACCAATTAAAGTCAGTCAACACTGTTAACAGTGTCATCGATAAGGCGTGATTTTATAACCCTTTTTAGTACAATTTCTACCTGAAAGAATGATTTGTATGGAAGCGTTTATTGACTGGATAACACATCGAATGATTACTTTATCATTGAGGGTCATTGGCCTGAAGGGAGCGCGGCTCCGAGGGAACACATACATACATACATAAATGCATAATAAAAAGTAGAAAAAAATACAATAATAAAAAGTAGAAAACCTAGTTACAAGTTGCGTGGCTTTTTCTTCATTTATTCTATTTTTACAATAATAAATGTCTGTACAGTACATTACTTGTTTTTACATTAAAACAAAATATAAAGTAGATCCCTTACCGCTGTTAAATTGATGATTGCCTTTCTTTTTGTAAAGTCAAAATATTAATTTATTGCTCCTTAAAAGCCACCTTAAATGAGTGTGAAAATTACTAAAATAACTTTCGTCGTATTGGAGTTGTATTCGTAGCGTTTTTGTTTTGTTCTACACGTCATCAAGGGAATGAACAAAAACTAAGRAACAAAAAACGAAAAAAAAGTGCTGCGAAATTCAGTGCGGACGAGGCCTCATATAGAATGTTGTTTCTTAATYCWTTCGAAGTGMCTATTTTCGYTTACATTTCATAYCCATCGTCGTAAGAGATGAATCCTGAAATTTGCCATGGGATGTTCTAATGAAGAAATGTATAAACCGTTGTTTTACCACCTCCATGTTAACATCGATAGCAAGATGCTCTCGARCCGAACACTTGTTGATCTAATTTTTTTAGAGGATACTTGGTGGCCAATCACAACCATATWCCAAGCAATCTTTCCATTAATTACGCTATCGAGCTAGATGGCGATAGTTGACCTTTTCTAATTGGTAAGATAGGTATCATTCTCGTGGATTTGAGYAATGCTTTCATGTTGTACAYACGATAAAAATGCCTGAATGGCGTGGTAGCGAGGCCAACAGTRTCAGGAGCTCCATACATGAATCGTCCTGTGGCGATGACGTAGATCTGCACGCCCATCATCTTCAGCTGAAAGCTGCGGTACAAAGTAAACTCTTGCTTGACGTTTGATAATCCATCTGTGATCAAAAGCACCTGAGGGTACAAAAACATATTCTTACACACAGCCACAGGTAACACAATCTGATATTTGGGAATCGAAAATTTGAAAAATATTAAAATTTGAAAATGGCAGAGCAATTCAATCGTTTTCTTGTCAGTAATGACGAATTTCCATGCGGCAAATAGCTCAGTCACTATTTTTCGAATCACAAAAGTACATAAATGAATGGGATAAATAAATAAAAAAAATCAATGGGTAGTTAATTCAGATTGTGTTTCGGTCGACCGATTAGTCATTCAGACACACAGCCAATCCGTGACCTATAAGTGGTTGGCCAGTCGCTACAGTCGACTAATCATCTATCAGTCAGTCTAGTAGTAGTTTTGTCTGTCTGTCTGTCTGTATGCTAATCTAGCAACTATTGAGTCGTCCTTACCTTCTTTTCAGTGRTTTTCGACAGATTAGACTTGAGATCAAGAAATAGTTCTCTTGCCAAAAGAAGCCCTTTCTGGATGTTAGTTCTACCAGGAACGTAAGGAATCTGTGTAATTTTTCTCAAAGCTGTTATTTTGTCTGTAAAGTTRAATCTTATGAAAGCGTCTGAAGAGAAGACTACAGCAGCGTACTTGTTGTGGTCCGCTGACCGCTTTATGATAGTGTGAATAGCTTTGACTTCATGTCGAAACTGTCTTCTACCAACTGATGACGATGAATCCAACACGAACACCACATCACTAGCCTGTGAAAACAAAGACACTACAAAACTTGCCTGGAACAAAACAATTCTCCATTTTATAGTTCCCAGCGTSATCTTGAATGGTAGCCAAGCCTTTGCATCAAAGCGAGGCTGCAGTTGAGATTGGAATGATTATCTTAGTTGTGCATCTATCACTGCAGGCTCAGCTCTTGTCTCATTTTGTTCCAAAGGCTTCGCTATCTTTAAGAATGGCGCTTGAAAGTGGAAAATGGAGGGTTTTATGGTTGGCATAGCCTGCCATTATCGCTTTGTGCTCTTTTATTCCATGCGATACCCCAGAAAAAAACCCACTAAGATACTGCGTTATAGTAAGAACAATGGTTCCTTGAATGTAAATGCAGAGCTTATCAGCCCTCCCCCTCCCCACCCACCCAGAAAACACTCATTTACTGGATTTTATTACAACTACGGCCTTCATCAAGCTGGGACAAGGAAAATAATGCATATAGCTGCTAAACAAGAAAAATACAAACACTATCGAGGCTAATCAAATTCAAAATGAATCTAAAAATTGAGTATCATTTTCGTAGCATGTTTCATTGTTTTTGTTTTTGTTGTCCTACTGAGCCCACTGTCAAAACGGAATTTTTACCTGAGCTACTCCAGGTCCTCGTCTTGTCCTACCAGTGGATGGAGGAATACCCATGAAATAACGATTGAATCGTCCGGTTGTTGCTGATATTGGTGGTACATACTGATATCCTGTCGAGAGAACAAAAACGCAATCTTAGTCCAAACGTCATTTATGTGGGGTTCACGTACGTGGTGCATTAGAACCCAGCAGAACTGTTTAACATAATATAAACGTTTCCACTCTGATTCTGTAGAGATAATAGCCTCTGGACTTCTCAAACTTGGAGATCGCGAGAATATCAGATATGTTAATTAACTTAAATACGGTTTGTCGGTTGGTCTTCCTGTGGTGGTCTACTCTTGATTCGAGATATTGTTTGAGTGACGTTTTGGTAACTTTTGGAAAAAGTGCTAGTGATAAATAATAAGTGTGTGTCAACTTGAATGATTATTTGGAAGATTGTGGTTTTATCCGGGAGCACTAGCAAAGATAATTAGGTCCAAAATGTAGAGACTCACGGATTATTAGGGAGACTTTGGTTGTTATACTTCTGCTTCTTAATTTGCTTTAAAAAAGCTACGCGATTATAAAGTGTGAACCAGCTTATAGTAATGTCTCTACTTTAATATGTCATAAAATGAAACAGCCGTCAGAAAGAAACTTTACTCGAATTTGACGGAATCCAGAGCGTTCCTGGATTCCGGATTCCATTAAATATTCTACAAGAACTCTGGATTCCACCATATTGGATTCAGAATGCAATGCATCCTAGATTTTTTGTCGCAGGTGAGTAGATTGTAAGTAGGAAACAGTTGAAGTCAATAATTTGGATTCCGGTTTTCTCTTGTTTTAACGGACTTCGTTTCAATTGACGCGGATTCAGGATTCCAGATTACGTTTCATAGGACGAAACTATCTAAAAAAGCGGACATAACTGTACGTATTCCATCCAGAATCTAGCAATTTTTAAATTCGCGTTGTTGAAGTGTAGCATTGCTTTCATCCTACATGTCGGACAGAAGCTGTAGAATGAAATAGGAAGATTTTAGACCCTGTGACGCAGAAAATATATCTGGACGATTGCTTTAGTGAAACTAGTTGCTTTATAATCTAATTCTAACTATTATAAGCCAGTTTTTGATTGCCGCAGAATGTTTCATCGTCCATTTCGTCCTATCTTTTTTGTCCAAACATGTGGACGAGAATAATTTTCACAAAATGAATTGCCGAATCGGCACTATAAATGTTCGGCTTCGCGTAGGTAAGGCCTCATACATTGAACATTGAATGTCTGCTCAAAGTCACACCAAAGACTCTTGACTCAGTTAAGGAATAATTAGAGGCTCTTAGCAGAGCTCTACTTCAGTGATTAATACACAGAGCAATTCTATACTGATGGACGAATAGTCTGTCCGAGCTTCAGTTGCAACATCAATGAAGCGCGAAGCTTTTGAAATGCTCATTTGCCAAGAAGTAATTCACATACAATATCGCAGAACAAAACAAATCACAAAGAATTCTAACAGTGTAAACTATTTTTCAATGAATTTTGATAGTAAGATTTAATGACTTTTGGTGATTCTTAATTGGGCACACACATTGACACTACYTGAATACAGTGTTAACTGCAGATGTTTTATCGCCTCTGTAAGCCAATAACAAACACTATTSCAATTGTCTTTGCTGTATATGCTCTTTTTGATAAGTCAATTGGTAACATAAGGACATTGTGAGTGACTTCAATCATTACATTASGGAAAAGAGCACTTTTTCACCGGATCTTYAGAAGRATTCAARGTATTTTGATCAATACTCATTCAATACTCACTCATAAACGGGTCTCTTGGCTGTTCCCAGATAWACGATGTGGTTGAACAAATAAAACCCATTAATACAYCAATCACATGTAAACCAGYCATTGTAGATCGTGGTAAAGGAAGCCGGCTTGGCTTATAGTTTAGGAAACAATTCAGTTAACGTTCGAGTCTCGATTGTTGTCTGTCTACGGTGTGCACTCGTTTGAGGTGAGGCGATGGATGATCAATATTTACTAATTGGTATTCAAATTGTTGAGACTCCATCCTGCTTGGTTATTCAAGGAATCTTTGATAACAAAGAACTTAATAACATAAAAACAATCGACAGCGCTAATGGTTGGATTATGAACTTACTTTTTATATAAGGACAGTTAAAGCATTCCGTTTAAACACGTTTCTATTAAAACAAAGCTACACTCTTGAAAAGTTAGAAATGAAAGAACGACAATCGACACTGGTTCATCTTCTAAGCTGAAGCCATTGTCTGTAGTTGGTAAAGAAAGAAAGAAAGAAGAAGAAAAGAAGAAGAAAAAGAAATAAGAAATAGAATAATAATAATAAAAAGAAAAGCTTGTTGGTTCAAAAATTAGCCGTGAGAAGATTTCAAAGCTTGAGGGACATAAGACAAGCTTATTCATGGCTTACAAAAGAAACAAATGAAGTGTTAAAGCTGTGTATTCATAGCCTTTTGTTTCACGGCAGGAGGGCAAGACTACTCTCGCTTTCATTAAAAAAAAAAACAAATAAAAAAAAATCAATAATACTAAGGCACATAGATAATGGTAAACTAGGAAAAACTGAAAAAACTACAATAAATTAACAATTATTAACAAACTAAAAACTTATGATGTAAGCGCTACTTCAACCTAAAAGTTATTTATTTTTGTCGAGCTTTTTTTTTCTGTCCGAAAGCTCGACAAAAATAAATAAATAACTTTTAGGTTGAAGTAGCGCTTACATCATAATGAATAGACCAACCTACAACCATTTATTTGATCAAACTAAAAACTGTTGGAAATATTGAAAAAAGTTTTCTTTATACAATAGAAATAATCAGCAATCAAATAATACTCGATATTCACATCTACGTCGCATACTACAACCACAAGAGTCCTTTGCACACTTTCGTTTTCTAGTGTTTTGCTAATTTCCAAAGAGAACAGAAATAAAAWGGAAAATACGCAATGCATTCTGGTAGTTGTAGTAAAATGACMTCATTGTAGAAGTCAAAAGCATGCATGATACTTTTCCGTAATTTATTCATTTTCAAGGTTTTTGTATAAATTTTGTAATTGCTCTATCGCATAATTACGTCACAACAACACATTCTATTGTTTTGAAATGATGGTTTACCATAGAAGATCGAAGTACAAGGGGGATCCACATTCTTTTCAAGGAGAAGTCAGAGGGAAGTCTCGCCTTTTTTTACCACAGGAAGCCCAAAAAATTTATAAGCTTCTTGGCTGACGACATTTATTCAAAATTATGCCATCCTTCAGATAAAAAAATCTTTGTCTTAATTTCTAAATAACCTCATTGATGGAGAAATATTTGAACTTGGATTTAACAGGGAGTCCTGACTGTCCCCCTGACACTCCACCTGCATGGATTCGTCCTTGGAGCAACTGCACATCAAATAAAATGTAGATGAGCGATCATTGCTACATGATATACACCTAGTTACAAAAACGTTGTCGTAAAGAAATAGAACATTTGTAGTTTAGGGCAAAAGAAAACATTAAAAAACAATGAGAAGCGTTCATGAGCCTGATTGGTTTTCCTTGTGTTTTTAATTATTTCTATTGAAATTAAGCATACAAGTTAGATTTCTCTATAGCAACCTTTTTGCACATAGGTGTATATCAAAAGTTCTATTTTCATAATGCATAGGTCAAAATTTCCACTGTTTCTGGCCATCCATCCCTAATAAAAACATATTGTGACGTCATTACATCATAGGGAAATGTAAGTTTGCGCGTTTGAGGAGAACCACGGCTACACTTAATAATATACCACATTTATGAACACAAACGGTTTCATGCGAGATCGGCTAAAACTACCATAATACTCTATGTATATTAATGGCGTATCCAGGGTTTTCTTCAGTGAGGAGTGACACTCACTCAGGAAGGCACTCAAAATAGGGAGAATTAAATTGAGCTCGGTAAAAGGTCTAAACGGTATCAGATGCTGCTTATTTATTCAGATTCTACTTATTTCCAAACGATTGAAAATACACAAATAAAAATAAACAATAAAACACGAAATAAATAAAATTTATAATTGAAAATTACTTACAGCAACAACAAAATTAATAATTGAAAATCAATAATCAAAAATAATAATTAAAAACACATAATTTACTAAAGCAACGACAGCAAAGCATTCTGGTATTTTTTGTAAGACTCCATAGCTTAAATTTACATACAATTATTGTAAAAAAGACAACATAGTTCATTGAATTGTTTAAAATCCTTATAAACATGAACGTCTCGGCTGTAGACTTACGAGTCAAGATATTGGTAAACGTTTTATTCGCACCATCAGATATCAAGAGTATTAAACGTATACAAATGACATAAATACTAGACGCTCCAAGAGTCATCAATCGTTATCTGTCTTTTTTGGTAAAAGATGTTGAAGATTTCATTTTTTCTCGTTATGATAGACCACCGCGATGTGTAAATGATATCTCGGCGCCATTTTAAAAGCCATCATTTAATAATTGAAACTTTTACAGCTYATCATTCCTGATGAAAAGGCACCACAACCACGGGGATTTTACTATAATGTACGACGTCATCACTAACCGCTGACACCAATGATCGTAGAATACGACCCAGTCCTCTTGACCCAATCACTACGTACGCAGCTTTTTTATCTAAGGCAAATTGTCGAATTCGTTGTGCCACGTGGTTTTTGTGTTCGACGTGAATTGTTGCATCGAGCTGAAACAAGAAATGTTGGTTTCTTCATTAAATAGTGGATATTACATGGGCGTACGGAGGATAGCGATTTATCTTCGAGTTTTGAAAATATCTCTCACGAGTGTAGTGAAGATTTTTCACACGAGAAGATGAAATCTGTATCTACAAACGACTATTAACTATTCAAGACAGAAAAAAATACGTGAAATTCCCCCAACCCGCACAAAAACCGTGACTTGATCTAATTGTAAATTGCCTGAAATACAAAGAAACTGGAATATCAAGCGACTAAACTAAAAAATTTTTTTTTTAAATCGAGAGTCTTAATACTGTGACGCCTTTTTGTACAGCAAAGCATGATGGGAGTTGTAGTCCTCGTACTTTATTATGTCCGCTAAAACACTCAGTCCTCCTAGCTTTTTTTGACATCAACAAAAACAAGACATAAGTGAATTTTAACGTGTACTTTACACGTCGGAGCACGCCGCCTTGTATTAGTCATTCAATAGACATACCGGGGATTTACAGCATACGGCTTTGCACTTCTCGTAGTAGTATGAGATAAACTTCTCTTCRTTTCGATGGTATTTTTCTTCTTTGTGCTTCCAATCAAGGGTTTGTTCTGTGTCTAAATAAAAAAGTGTGTGTTGTTGTGTTACTCATGGATTTTTCAGATTATAAATAACTAGGTTTCTTTGTGCCAATGTGCATATCTGGTGGTTTTCTGGTGGTGATCATGCATGTGTAAGGAATTGTTATCGTCGCAGTGATATAATAATAATCTAATTGATTATTAGTAAATGTATCGCCAATTAACCGATTTTTTTAACAAAAGGGGGGACCCATTACCTCTGCGATGCCGTTGCAGTGCTCCACCAGCTGAGCAAGGAAGGTGAACCCATACATGGACAAGCAGCAAATGCTGGAATAATGGTGCATGTACATGTCTAAGGAATTGTGTTCGTTGAAGTAAAATCATAATAATCTAAGTGATTATTGTGTTGTGTTTTCCTGGCTTTATGTTTTGATATACTTTGTCGTGTAAGTTTTTTTTTCTCCAAATATGGATTTGAATTTTACCAGAGATACATAATATATATAGCTATTTCATAAAAGGTTGTCGGATAAAATGTCGAATGTCAAAGGTCGAATGAACGGCGATTGCACGACCAAAGGTAGCCATATGGGTTTTGCTAGTTTAAAGGCAATAACAACTGATTATTTCATACTTGATTCAGTTTTCTTTGTTATTCATAGTGTTGTGTAAGAGTTACATACCGAGAACGGAGGCAATCAGCCTCGAGGGATGTATAGACTGTATAGGCTCAGCCGCGCTGATTGCCTCCGTTCTCGGTATGTAACTCTTACTTTATACTGTAAGATAGTCTGCGGTAAACATTGGCTCCATTTAGTCTCCATTTCTATGTAAGATGAATCAAACAAGTGGAATTTTGTTTGTTAAAACAGCGTAACCATAGTCCTTTTCGGTCGTGCAATCTCCGTTCAACAATCACCGTTCGCCGTTCTCCCCGACAGCGGTTTTTGAAATAGCTGTATATAGATAATACAAAGCTATTCCGAAAAAGGTTGTTTATAAAGGACGGCCACTGACAATGGTCAAATGCGAGGATTGCACTTGACTCACAAGAGCTTTATATAACCATTAATCCAATGAAGTAGCTGTTTTGAATTGTTCTGAAGTATTTATTAGTAGTGGTCCTTTGATTAAAGTAGTGCAACAATGAGGTCCTGTAGTTGTCTAATAAACGCCTTACAATCGATAATCACCGTTGTCCCTGACAACCTTTCTTGAAATAGCTATTTGTATTCAATATTTACATGGGTCTGCTGGCTTGTACAGGATATCTTCACAATGGAAAACTATGACATGGTCCTTTTCGGAGTGCAGATTTTCCATGTACCCTGAAACAATCAGAACATAACATTCATAGATTCGCCATCATTTGAGTTAAATCTTTAATGTCATTTTCTATGAGTTTTGCAATGACGCGGACAATTGTTTTAACAATTGTAAAAAAAAAACACTTAATTTCTTCTTTTTCAAAATACTGCGATTTTAGAGCTAAACTATAACTGCTGCCAAACAAGACCAAGARCATGAGATGCGTGTTTTAAACCATTCAACATGGTTTAGTGCAGAGAGGTGAAGTGAATCCAGACATTTGATTGCCGTCAGCTACGCATTAAGCGTCATCTCACCGCTAAAAGAGTTGACTTTGAGTGGTTAATAATGCGCGCAACTCCAGGAAAGTTATTTTGTAGGAAAAAGTAAAACGCCGAAATACTTTTTCACAACACATTATTCACTTTCCTGTAAAATATTTTGTTGTGAGACAAGTTTTGCATGCGMTAGGAAAACATGCATCGCTTTCCAAGTCGTTTCGCAGTACAATTCACCATACGACGTGTTGATTAATACGCTATTGCTCGTCARAGAAACACGAACAAGAGCAGACAAAGCGATGTTAATAAGATAACGTGACAGGTTGTCGGTCAATATCGTTTAGCAGGATTTTCAGGCACAACCTTAGACTCTTAAATATAATATTTCCTGCGTGTTGATTAATTGCTACATGATATACAGTGTAAATTGTCCATGGAGATTTGCTAGAATAATGGAGGCAAAACAAACTGAATGAAAACATATATAAAAATGAAAGAAAGTTATAGTGCTTAGAAGGAGGCAATTCCGAATCAAATCAATTTGAATCAAAACAAAGTTCGTTCCTACCAAATAAGCAGTGAATTTTTTGGAGTATTTATTTTTTCCACACGTTACGCTTTCATAATAAAAACATACTGTATTTTTAGAACATTGCACGAGACCATATGTTTTACAAAATGAATTTAAAAATTCAATAACGCGAAAAGTAAAGAAGCCTTCAAATGTGAATGGATTATTTGCAAGTCAAATGTGGAGAAACTAAATATTTGAGAAGATAAATTTGTTATATTAAAATCAAAATTTTTCGAAAAGAAATTAAAAATATTCAAAACAAAGGTGACTTACCAGTTTGTACTAAAGAAAAATAACGAATATAAACAATGAATTTCAAGTATTACAAGTCTTAACAGTTCRTAAAGAATCGACGGAAGCTTACGTCGTAGATCTGCACAAAATAATAACAAGCTAACTGTGCTAATTTTCACCCAAAGTAATTGGCTCAGCAGATCAGTCAAAAAATGCGATATTTTTGAAAACAATTATAGAAAAAAGAACTAGACTAGCTATACAATGTTCCCCAACAATAWCGTTTTTAGATGATACACTTCCTCCTATAAGTTTTATTTACTTATTTATTCTTTTTAAGCGGGAAAAGTAAGGAAATTTAATGAAATTAAAGCGTGATTGAAATGAAGAGTGTATACTTACAGTCAAAAGCGTGTTCGCTGTGTTTACCATTATCAACGGCTATAACAACAGTTTTCTTCTTACTCTCAGCCATCATTCAAACTTGTACAACGCTGGCTAACTATTTTAACAAAGAAATGTTTTTAGAGTTCAAGGCAACAGCAAAGATAAGAGAGCTATCTCCTTGATAAGCTCAGTCGTCCTTAGCAAGATTAAAAAACAGACTACTCCTTGTGAATATTCATTCAATTTTCACCGTCCAATTGTGGTTGAATACGCGGTAACGCTGAACGGTAGGGGACAATGTTGACTTYCAAGCATAAACAGTAATTATGGACTAAAGTCTCCTTAGAGATTAGTTGTCTGTCTATCAAGGTCTGTAGCTTCTCAGRATATCAACACAGGCTTTTCAATAAGCAAAATCTTACAGTTTAGACGTATTGGAGATTGATTGCCCAACACTTTAGTTAATACTCGTTTTCTTGTCATTTCTATATCACTTCGAGAGAACCATGACAAATTGGATAATTTTTTTTTTCTAATAAAATCGCTAAAAACAGTATCATTTAAGCAAAACAACGCTCCATTACAAATTTATAACATCACGTCTGCCGTTGTAAAACTCCATGAGATTGCTTGTTGAAGTTACATTCTATAATATTGACGTCAAAYCTATGAAGCGGTTACTCGGTACATATTTTGATGTTTTGTTTATTTTTAGGCGGGAAATCCAATGCGCGTGCGCAAAGCAGGTGCTTTTATTCAACATTCATATTCGACGGTCTATCGATGAATATTAGCATCTTTATTCCGTATATTACTTTTAACTAGCGTGTATTAAGACAAAACGACATATACACATATTTGTAATTTTTGTGATTTGTGTGGGTTTCAGTTTGATTAGTAATATGCTTTCACAATTTGTCATCATCACTCRTTATTGGCCATGTTTTTTGATATATAAAAAAGCTATCCTGACTTAAAAGCTCTCATTCAAACATACTTTATCCATTATATGGGTGAAAAATTTTGAAATATTGCACAAAATTGCACTAATTAAACAGTACAAAAAAGAAGGATCTCAACCTATTTTGCCTAATTTTGTTTGCAAACCATTTCATGGATTTATTGAAAGCCTTCTATAGTTAAAAACTGTGTTATTTGTATACTTAGCTATAAAAACCACAAATATTTTCCATAACAAAACCTACTTCCGTTTACAAGAGCGAACTGCAAGTGTTAAAATATGAATCCAGTTTTTAATGAGCCTCGAATAAGTGCGGGTCAAAATCAACGTTTGTATTTTACGCTCAGAGTTTTTCGCTTAAAGTTAGTCACGTGATCTAATTTTGGCTACCTGTGTTTTCTAGAATGGTAATTATGCTGGTATTAGGGAAAAGCAGAATAGGCTGACTTTTGTATATGATTCAAAAAGAGGAAAAAACTACAATTTGGATTGATCGAATTTTTCAATTTTTCATTTTTCAATCTGTTTCCTACTCGTCAGTCGAAACAGAGGGATTAACTTTCAGCTTGATTATGCAACTGGAAATAGGCATTTATACCCATAATTAAATTTAAAATGTAGTTACGTGTGAACGGCTAAGATCAGGTCCCCTCAATAGAGAGCACTGTTTGCGTTGGAGAAGATTTTTAGATTTCTCTGTAAGCCTTACTAGGACTAAATACAAAGATCACAGCACGATTTTGGGGTCATCTATTTCATTTCTATTTTCTCTAATATTTTATCGTTTCTTCAAAGATTTGTTGTTTTCTCGCTAGACCTGAGCAAAAGATCAAGCAACGATCGAAATGTTCTTTATTGAAACCCTAAACTTCGAATTTAGCTTGAGTTTACGCAGTTATTTCTATAGCTACTTTGTACCTATGTATGATATTATCAATGTCAAGGTCAAAGTTTTGCTTCCTGCTTGAAAAATGGTGTGTATTACAACAAGACTCGACCTGTCTGAATTAGAACCTCAATACCACCACCAACTGTTGCTTCGTTCGCCATGAAAACAGACCGTAGTGCTGTTATTTCTGGTGTAAGTTTGCTGGTATCTTTAGTGTGTTTGGCTGGTGTTCTCCATGTCGAGTACAAACTATACGAACATCTACAAATCATAAAACAAACTAGTCACGATGCAGTGATAACATTRATGAAGAACCTTCAGGAAGATTTGACGTGGACAAAACCTTTCCAGGACAAGAACACTGAATTAGGTAAAAAGCCGCTGTAGATCTTCCTCTGTAAACATTGTGGAAACTAGCGGTAAACTAGTGTGAGCTGCGTCGGTGTTTCTAAAGAAACAGTTGTGTAAAAAGATAAATCCAACACCGTAAAAAAATAGCTGAAACAAAGATTAAACTAGGATAAGTGTGAGTATATAAAATGGGTATAAATTGACTGAAACTTGTCAGTGCACTGCATTATGTGTAGATTTTTCCTTTCTGTTTAATTTGATGAGCGATACTTAGGGGTTTATGAATGTCGTCTYATATTCGTTTCTTGTATCATTGTACGCAGYATCTCGAAGAAGGCATCGCCGTGACAACKAACAAATAAACACAAACTCTTCTTCGATTGCAAYCATTCTRCGTCACCATATTCGACAGGAAGTCTATGCCATTATTAAAAGCAGTCTTACGCAAGGTGGTATATACTCTAGGGGTCGCAGAGGGAAAAGGGGACCACCAGGAAAAAGAGGACCAGTTGGGCCTAGAGGCAAACATGGTCCAAGAGGGCCACAAGGTAAACAAGGACGCAAAGGTATCAGGGGAGCCAATGGTCCTCCAGGACCCCCTGGACCACCTGGACCACCTGGTCCCCCTGGGCAAAAAGGACCAAAAGGAGAGCCTGCAGAGCCTATTGCAGCCCCATCAATATTGATGTCCCCAAAGGATCATGTGATTAATGAAAGTGACACGGCACTGTTCAAATGCATTGCAAAGGGAAACCCCGCACCAAAAGTCACGTGGTCGAAGAAGACATTTTCTCTTCCTGTTGGACAACGTCATGTGGTGGATTCCCATGGCTTCCTGTCAATCAAAAGTGTGACGTCATATGATCAAGGCATTTACACATGTACAGCTACAAGTGCGCTTGGTGTTGCTATGYCATCCAGTGTTCTTACTGTTCAAGGTGAGTCTCAATGAAACATCTTATGCTTTTATTCTATAAAAACTTGCAAAGAGTAAAAGAGAGAAAACAATAGACGTTTTGAACTCTTGTCAACACCTTGGGAAATACAACGTGTCCGTAATCCTATATGTATGTCCATTGACTGTAACATTACCGCAACATTCGAAACGAGAGGCAGATTTGCTAGATTTTGATATATAATGTGCATATATTTTCAAAATTTTTAAGGGGTCAAAAAATGCAAGTTCGAGCTATTTCATATTATTTTGTTGTTCGTCGCCGATCTGTAGACGCCTCGGGAAGTTTTGAATATGGCCCAAACACATGCGAATATTCGYCAAATGATTCTCCTTCGTTCCATTGCAATATCAACAAGTAAATATAAACAAGTTAAATAAAATTTACAAATTTGATTCCTTTTTTTACTCAAATATGTTGAGAAAATAAAATTGTATTATCACGAACTTGAATTATGTTATTGTAAGAATAAAGAACTAGTAGGGCAGAAGAGAGGATTAGAAGAGARATTGGCAGTCTGGACGCTAATTGGAGCAAATGTTGAAGTTGACAGTGAATGACTTTGATATGTAACTGATGGTAGCTTATAATCAATCTAATTTCCTTATATTATTAGTTCCTCCAGTATTTAACACAAAGCCAAAGTCTGTCATCGCTGAAGAGAACTTTAATGTTACATTACATTGT